ACAAAAACCAACAAACCTACAATCTTAATAGACTTTTAATGAATCAATATGTACCTGAGTTTCCTGAAGTAGAAAGCCCTGTTCTGATAAAGCACGTTACTTGCCGCTTGGTTGTCATGCATCACCTGCTATAACAGGAAACACTTGACAAGTAGTGGGTGTAGTACAGCCGTGGCAAACTGAGCCCCTAACAACTATTTTATGGTTTATAGACGAGTCACTTTGATCTTTGTCCCAGTGTATCTTAGCAACCAGGTATTTTCAATACAACTGATTTGTGTGTACTTCAGGTCTTCTCATCCCTGAACCAACGGTGAACATTAGCAGTTGGCAGATGGAGAGGCAGGGGCGGGTGAGAGGACAGAGGGAGGTTCATGAAGCAGAAGAAGAGGAGAGCGGAGGAGAGGAGAGGGCGAGGAAGTGTTTGTGGGCTACATTATTAAAATGTCAGTTGCCTTGGATTGAGTGTCTTATGACTGTGATATTTGAACAAGGCTTAAAGGAAGGAAAGCGAGCATAAAGTTGTTGTATCACATGTATTGGAATCTAGATAGCAAGATCGGGATTGAGTGTTCAAACTGAACACGAATGATGCAGAGAAGGCACTCAGCAAGTATCATGGGACGCCATCAGGACAATACACATTCTCCTAAACAGGTACAGTATTGGTTTAACTGGGGTCTCTCCTCTCTGATCCGGGTGTGTGCTGTTGTATGTGTGTGTGCATGTACATGCGCTTTGTCTGTGTGTGTGTGTGTGTGTGTGTGCAGAAAAAGGAAAGCCATTTAATCAGCAAATGATGAGATGGTTTAAATAGGACAACTTGAAGCAATGTCTAAATTAAGCTTCTTGATACAGCCTAGTTTTTAGGTCAGTTACCCATGTGAGAGACTGGTGTTTGTAAGGAAGAGAGTGAAGCCACTGTTGAGAGATTCAGCATCACTATAGTTCTTAGAAGATAAGTATTTGTTAAGCTGTACGTCCTGTTAGGGTGGATGTGTTATATATACATTATATTTTTCTAAATGTGTGTGTGTGTGTGTGTGTGTGTGTGTGTGTGTGTGTGTGTGTATGTGTGTGTGTGTGTGTGTGTGATATCTCACCAACATAGTGGTTTGCATAGTTTCATAATCTTCTGCTTAAACTTAAAGAACAATTCCATCAATATCTATAGGTTTTGTGTCAGCATCAGCTTTGCACTTTGTGAATATGAAAGAAAGATAGATTAGTTGCAAAGCGAAAATAAATGGTAGTCTCCGGTGTTAATGCATCTCAGCCAGCCTGTGCTAATTATTACCAGATCAATAGATACATGTGTAAAGGATTAATAGCCCTGTAACTTTAAAGGCGCTCCTGCTCTGCAATCTTGCAACTGTTAGCAATTCTGCAACCACCCTCCTCCATCCAGAACATGAACTTGGCCCCTGGCATGCTTTGTTGGCTACTACTGCTTCAGCATTAATTCTTAAAGCTGAGAGAGGTGTAAAGGCTTCCCACATATTTTACACTTTTCTGTGCTATTGGTGTAGCAGTACAGAAACAATGGACAGCTCCCCACTGTTAGTGCTGTATTTACAGTGGTTGTAGATATGGTTGGGGACGAGCTCAGCTGGCCCTGCTACAGTGAGCCGTTCTTTTTTTCACTTGGCTGACCATGGCCTGCCTGTGGACTCAGCTCCTCTCTTTCTCTGTGTCCATCACTCTCTTTCTCTTGCTCCATCTCTCTGTCGCTCTTTTTTCTCTTTATCTCCCTGTCTCTGCTCTCACCATCTGCCTTTATGCCTGATCTGCCCACATATCCTCTAACTGTCTCTCAGGAGAGGTCTAGGGGGATGGGGGCAGAGAGTGAAAATGGCAAATAGTGAGAAATAGCAGATATGAGAGGAGGAGGAAGTAGAGGAGAAATAGGAAAAAGTAATTCCAAGAGGGAGAGAGAGAGAAAGAGAGAGAGAGAGAGAGAGAGAGGGGAGTTGTCAATGTCATTATTTTTCAGAGCCAGTGTCAGCGGTGGAAATCTGATTTGGGATCTATGTCATCTCCATTTGGAATTAGCTTCAATCTTGGTTTTGGTGACAGTGTGCATCCCCATGATAATAACATAGACATGCATTGGTGCTCAAAGGAAATTGTCCAATAGTGTGCTAGTTTCAGGCCTGATACCTATAAATATAAATTCCACATCAGATTAACTGTTTTTTTGCAGGTGTGGACTTTCTTATTGGAGTTTCTTGAACTAAGCTGCCTTTTAAATGATCAAGATGATGATCAAGGTATTTTAAAATTGAAAAAAAATATTAGGGGATTTCTAGTGGTGCAGGATTTGCTTCACTGCTACTTCCTTACTTTATAGTAAACAATATAATGCAATATAATTCAATAACATAGTCCAGAAATAACTCTTGTCGTTTTTGTTGATGCTGTATCAGGCACAAATTGACTCAGTATCATGGTAATTTTGTAATGTGTACAATATTTTAAAATGTGATCACATATTGTAAGTATCCATCTAAATGCCCAGCCCTACTCTGAATCGATATTGGCTCACCTTTTAACATTGATTATGTTACGTCGCTTCACTAGCGATCCAAATCAGTAGTGCTGTTGTTAGGAGCTTGATGTACACAGATCTTATTTTCCTTATCTGTGTACATCATTGTAGACCAGTGTCTAGTATTGTCTCCTGTTACAGTGCACTGCATTTGTTGAGGGGTTATGACCCATTTTTCCGTACGCAGCATGTACTGTGTAAAATTGAAAGCCCGACAGACTGATCTCAAGGGGCAATTCTGTTACATGTATGAGTGGGTGTGTGTGTTTGTGTGTGTCCACTGTTCATTTACTCATTGAGTATCGTTCCCTCTGCTGTCTCCTGTGGGCCTTTATGCTGGGAGGAATCAATAACTTTCTCCCTTGACATGCCTCCCTCAACTGCATCTCTACCAGAACAGCGTTCTGTAGCTCCATCAGCTTAAATGCTTATGCATGTTGCACTGAATGGACACAGTATTTTTTTATGCTTAAATATCAGAATTCTAACAGAGAATTGTGCCATAAAAACAGCGGCAGCACACACACACACACACAGACACACACACACACACTGAAGCTCCCTTTATCTCACGCTCACCCTGACATTAGCTGAACAGAGTCCATTACTGCCAGGTAATGGGTGAATGTCACAATAGCAGGATGTCATAAAGCTCTGGAGTGGTCTAATGGGTTTTGTTCAGGTTGAGGTGACACATGCACACTCGCACATGCACACATACAGACGCGCGCTCTTCCAAGAAACTATCTTCCTATGTGCTCGATGCATTTACTCATCCCAGCATAGCCCTGAGCTCTGACATGTTTGAAGGGCTAATACAATCTCTTTAAGGAAGGAAATTATGAGAATCATCTGTCACTGTGTTTAAATTGGGAGGGGTGGATATGTTGCCCCTTTTACTCCACCCACACATTTTTTATCTTTTTCCACCTAAAATTAATGTATGTGAGCTAAAGGAACAGTAATAGCTTGAGTTAACTGAGTATAAAAGTTAAAAAAGTGTAAACAGTAGACAGACACCCAGGCTCAGGATATGAAATCACAAATGAAGTGAAAGAGTTAGGCACAGATACAAGCAAAGTGGAGAACATAGAGGTTGCTGCCAGTCACCAAGCCTAGTAGCCTCCGGGGGCAGACAGATGGGAGAGTGAAGGCTTATGGATGGAGTGATCACGTGAGCTTATTTGCTTTATGTTTTGGCACAGTGGGGGAGAGAAGGATGCAGTAGGAGAGCAGGAGTGGATGACGAGAAAACATCTGGGCCAGATTGAATGTCTAGATTCAACTGCTCTAGAAATGCTCCATTGTTCCATGAGTTCACAGCTTTTTATTTTTGGTTGTGATTTGCTTTCCTCAATGTGTCAACAGTAGAGACAGCTGCTTTATACTGTAGGAGCATGCTGCATTATCAGCAGAGATTGTTATCCACTTAATGATGGACAAAATATTAAACAGATATGGTTCAGCACACACTGTCATCATGAAGCTACATCGTTTTAATATAGTTTTCAAAGAGATTTGTCCAGTACTGAAAAGCATATGAGCAGACGAAGTAAAGAGGCTGTTGGGAATAACAGTTTTATTCTTTCACATCCTGCTCTACGTGGCTTTCTCATGTTTCATTGATATCCTGCCAGTCATTCCCATCAAGATTAGTTTGAACATGTTTGGCTGTTATGATTGAAACTAGAAGTGTCAACATCACAGTCATGAGTGGGAAAAATAACACTTTAAAAAGATATCTGAGACTGTTGGCAAGTAAACATAAAAAATTGTGTGATCTACCATGAGTTTGATAGTATTATTTTTTTTAAGACGGTTCACCCAGGGTTCAGTGGAAAGCCACAGTGCAGCTGACTCTTACCTCCAACTCTCTCTGCAGCGAACTGTACTTTTTGCCTCTGTCTCTCCTTTTTAAACAGATTGTGTCTCTTTCTTTCATTTTTTCTTTCATTTCCACAGAATTTGTAGCAGAAGTGTATAAAGCTAAATTCTTTTTGCAAATAATTTTCTGTTTTGGCACAGTCTTAAGAGTATTTGTGTTCTCGAAAGGTTTTGGGGGTTTGCCTATCAACACACCTCTAATCATAGTTAGTCATTTAGTGTGTAGTCCGCTGTATCCAACATTACTCAGTTTTTCGAGTTGGCCCTCTTTGTGGCTAAAAAAAAGTAAGTTGTGTGTAAGTTGATGAAAATAAGTTGTAATGTAGTTGTGAGAATCACCATTACGTGTTCAAAACAAGAAGCCTGTACAATGACACAAGGGACTGTACAATGTAAAGACAGATGCACACACACAAATCTCACACACCTCTCAGGTATAGAGATAAAGGAGCTGTGTGCGTCAGTGTGGTGTGACGTTGTTCACCGCATCATTATTGCATTACACCAGAGAAGAATGATTATCTCGTTCTCAATCTCTTCCTCTCCTTTCCCCTCTCCTCTTCTCCAGTCTTCGGGTACCAGCGTGGTAGTGGACATCGCGGTGATGGGTGAGGCCCACGGTTTGATCTCAGACCTGCTGGCAGACCCCTCGCTGCCCCCTAACACCTGCAGCTCTCTGAAGGCCGTCAGCAACCTCCTTAGCACCCAGATCAGCCTCCAGCCGCTCCACCGGCCTCGCGTACCTGCAGACACACACACCTGCTCTGACTCTGAGGAGGGGCCGGAAAAAGCAGAGAGACTGGCCATTCCAAAGGTAAATGTTTGTCGTTCTTAAAAATGTGCTTTTGCTCATTTTTGTGTTTTTGGTTTGGCTGATTAATATAGATATATACACCACTCATGTGTAGCCAACCCCCTCCCCACCCGCCCTACCCCCACCATAGAATCCCCAAATAAATCTTAGGGGTCACTAGATGAATAAAAAATAGAAAGACTGCCTCTGGTTACAAATCATTTCACCCCTTAGACCATAACCTTTGGTGTAGGTCACAATTAGAAATCACTTTATTTTATAGAGTACTCGACCTATTTAGCTTTTCACAACTACAGCACTGTCGGACTTGTGATGGACCAAAATAAAAGATCAAAGTAGATGCAGAAGAACCAGAGATATGGTCTTTTTTCTTCACACATCAGGCAGAGATGATTAGAGGTCTGGTAGGCTCACATTCTAAGTCCACACCCCAAGGTTTTTTTCATTTTCAATCTTGCGGTCTTCAAGCCACAACCGACGCAATTTATCATATTTTGTCTAGCCCCTTCTGGAGCCACAAAAGGCTTTTTACACCTTTTATTTATTTGTAAAAATTGGTGGAGTTTTCCTTTAAACTTGCATGCTGCCATACATGTCAACACACACACACACATACACACACCCACCCTGAAAACATCACCCCCATTTCCTCCCTCACTGCTGGTGTAGTGCGGGGCTCTGATGTAGCTAACAATGACGCACAGGCTTCCAGAGGGATTTTTAATGTTTTACAAGGCAGGCGCTTCAAAATGTATGTGGGCACTTAAGAGGGCAAGGAAACTAAATAAAGCGTGTGATGTAACGCAGGATAGCCTACCAGGAAAGTGACAAGCAGCTTTAACACTGCCTGAGTGCGCACAGATGCTTGACGCATATAGTGGAACTCAATGAGATGCTGCCTCATTTTAACTCATTGGGGATTTGTGAGTCTGCATGTAGCAACGGGTTAAAGTTGGTGATTCAACTCATTTGTGCTGCTCTGTTGTATGGCTCTGAACTAAGGGCAGAAATAGCAGTTACAGAAAGGCAAAAGGAAATGTTGGTGACTGAGGTACATTTGTTTCCCAGGTTTTGACTTAGCTTAGTGAGACAACAAAGCAAGTTTCATTTCTTGTTAAAAGTTCTGGTTTCACTTGCCTTGTTTTAACTCTAGCAGTTCTGGCTGCTGAGTTTATAGCAGCTTCCAAACAGTGAACCGCCTTCTGCTACACAGTGTTTTCTTTATAATACTTCACATTACAGCCAGACATTTTCCAAAGCGTAGCGTTGTGGTGGAAGCCATTGGTTTATATTAATTTCAAAGTAGTACAGACATAAAGTATCAGATACTTAATGTAAAACTTGCAGCAATCCATCACAGCCAACATCTACTACTTATATTTCTGTCAGCTCTTATTGTTGCATAATAGTGCTGTGCAGATGTTTCAGATCTGCATTTTAAACTGGATTACCACAGAATAATAAAATTCACAATGGAAAACACAAGCATTATGTTCAGAGTGATTGATTACCACCAAATGCCCTTTCTCCCTCACTCCCCCATCTCTACTTTACTATCTCTCTCCTCTGTCATTCTTTCATAAACTATTAGACCTTTTTGATTAGCTTCCCTTCATTGTAGGAGAGTATACCCCAGAGCACTGTGAGATCATGCATGCATGTGTGTGTGTGTGTGTGTGTGTGTGTGTGTGTGTGTGTGTGTTTGGATGGCAATAGTGCTTCATTGTGTTTTTATTTGCCTGAGCAATGAACAGACAAATCTAGATGTTGTGGTTGTTTTTCAGTAGGATGTAAAATTTGATCCTCTGCTGCCCTCTATAGTCCACTGTAGGTGTGTGTGTGAGAGAGAGAGAGAGCGAGAGAGAGAGAGAGAGATTAGCTCAGAGAGAGATTAGCTCATGGCTTTACAACAAAGTTTACAACACTAGATAGATTGACACCACAGGGGATACAAGCATGATTCCTTCCTACTTACCATTCAGTCTCCCATATGCTTTTAGAAAAAAAGGAATGGGCTGGAAGAACAAATATGGCATCCTTTTACATTGATGTCTTTACTTTTTTGATGGAGGAGAAAAGGAGGCACAACAATTGCTCACGTCCCATTTTAACTACTACGTAAATCGAGCAAGTGCGCTACTATACCTGCCTTTGTTTTCCTGACGTTTTACTTTGATGGCAGCACTTTGTCTCTAGTTGTGTGAACTGTGTGACTTTTATGGCTGTAGAGTAAGTGTGACCCAAGCTTTTGTTAACATTGCCTGTCATTTTGGATTACAAATGTCCAAACAGAGTTACTTATTGTGACACTAAAAGTTTAGAAGATAAGACAAGACGACGTAAATCAGGCTATTTCAGTAGCGAGGAAATCAATTACAAATATGCTATACATAAGAATGTAGTCAATTTAACAATATTTACTTGATGTAAATGTAAAAAAGTGAAGGATTACAAGAAATCTTTGTGTGTGAAGCAGATGTTAAAAGACAGAAAGTAAGAATTTGTGAAAGATGTGCAAAGATTATGTTTGATTATTGATTATGTAAAAAAAAAACTTGACAGTTCAGTTAGTTTTTCTATGTACTTCTGTGAGTGTGTCAGCATATGTTTCTGTATCTGCATTACAGCGTCTAAGACGGAGTCTGCCCCCAGGACTGCTTAGGAGAATCTCGTCGACATGGACCACGACCACCTCAGCAACAGGGCTGCCGACCATCGAGCCTGGCCCGGTTCGCCGCAACCGCTCAGCCAGCATCAAACACACAACAGACAGGTAATTCTCACACACTAACTCACTCACTGCAACACTCACTGCAACACTCACTGCAATCAAGAGGAACACAATAACTTTGACCAGTAACAGATCAAGACTTTTTCATTTTCTTGCATTAAATCAGCGATTCATGGAATAACTCAGTGATGATGACCATCTCAAAGAGTCGCTCCATGTCTGCCTCCTGTGCTGCCTCTGTCACATCCAACCACATCTACAGCAAACCACTTGGAAGACCAGGTATGTGTGTCTGTACAAATCTACTTAACACACTGGGTATATGTTCAGTAAGTTACTTGGGTATAAGAGGTCCTTGTTCATACGAGGTCTTTTAAAGGTTCAGTTTGTAATATTCTTCTACTGACAGAAATGCAATATAATATACATTTCAGTGGTGTATAAAGACCTTACATAATGAACTGTTACGTTTTTATTACCTTAGAATGAGCCATTTCCATCTACATACACAACAGAAAATGTACTGAAAAAGTAGTAGTCATCTGGTTTGTTAGAAGAAGTGAAATTTGGACAAATGGAGGACTACAACGTATTATTTAGCACAATTCAAAACACTAGATGGCACTAAAACCTACACACTGAACCTTTAATTTGGAAAATGTTTTTACAAAAGAAAATTTTCTTCTCAGTTTGACAATTCACTGCACATAATTCCACATTTCACTTCACAATTCAGGATTTTGTAGTTGCTGAATTCCTTTGTATGTAAGTGGTGTGACTTAAAACATAGCAAAGACTATTAATAGTTAATTAAAAAGCAAATAAATTAATTAGCTAAAGATAGTACAGCAAGTGGAGAGTGCAGTCACCCCACACAGATTTGAACCCAGGTCTGCAGGATACATGCAAACATGCAACTTGACCATCACACCAAAGAGCGAGGCTCATTGGTATGGCAGTCAGAGCGTGTACTCAACCGCTGTCACAGGTTTGTAGGATAGAGCAGGTTGGAGGACCCAAACGCAGGACACTGAGCAAGGGCCTGTGCCACGAAGCAGGATTTCATTTCATTTCATTTATTTATTTAAGGACAGTGCACATTAATAAACATTTCTGTAAATGTGCCAGTGTTAGCCAGCAGGCTAATTTTCAACTGTAGTCCATTGGCAAGATGTTATACTAGGCATACATAATTTATACTTCTGCGTCAAATCTATGGCATAGCCTCTGCTATCCCGCTACCCTACGGCGTCACCTACGCCGTAGCCTGACGTGCACCTCCTCAAAAATGTAACTAAAAGTCGAGGCAATGCGGACCGTAAGCATTGGTTGGCTTGGGTAGCCTTGCAATGCATCCGAGCCGACCGGAAGTGTCCCGTGCTTTGTAGCAAATTTTTTCTAGCGGCCAAAACAGCGGCTGTAACACGGTTGATCAATATATTTGACCGTCACAACCCGAGCAAAATGACTTGTTTCACTATCAGAATGTGATCCATTCGGTCGATAACATTTGAAAAGGCTACACCAGCCGCACCTATACAATTTTACCGCCGTTCACAGTAGTGGAGCGCTAAACCGGAAGTCAACACAGTGGACGCTGCGCCGACTAGCGTTTGGGGGTGTAATTGCAGACTGACGGATACACCGACGCACATGCCTGGCTACGTGCGTAGCCTATGGCGTAGCTACGCACATAGACCCTATGTGGGAGTATAAATCAAGCTTTAGGCTGCTTTATTTTTGCTGCGGTGATGTGGAGAAACTCTTAGGCTATAGCAATATCATCCTAAAAGCCTTAGGTTATTGTAGACCTACAGGTTTTTACAGTAGCCAATTCTAACTGCTCTGAAATGTGTTTAATATTTTTTATTTACTCCGTTTCACAGATCCTGTCACAGCCATTAAAATAAATGGGTTTCATTTTTCTTATAGCTTATATTTCTTATAGGCTGAATATTATGAGCAGCTTGGTAGGGATATTGAAATACTAAATTTTAATATGAATGTAGACTATTTATTTTAGGTTAGTAAAGTCTATCTGGTCACGTTCTGCCCCACCTTTTGCGATGTGGGCGCAAAAGGTGGGACGGTGAGTTTCCAGTAGCCTAAATGTTGAGATTCAGTCTTTCAACCACTATTTGAGCACATTTCATGGCATGAATGGAGTTTTCGTTTCATTGCTTTATGAAGTTAATTTAGAACAATGTTGGGAACACTTTTGAGTGTGTCAAATAAATTAATCAATTTTTTTTTCACAAGTTTTTTAAAGTGAGGAGGAATGGCCCGTGTCTTTTAATGTGGAAATGCCGACACACAGCCGAGCTGAAAGAATAAGGCTGATATTTTCATACAGCTCATAAGAACACACCAAATCAATGCAATATAGCATGTGTCAGATGCAGGCGTGCTACTTAGACCATGTCGTATTTCTGTAGTATTACAGTTCGTTCGTAAAATATGACGCTCTGCTGACAGTGGACTTAATTTCTGTGATTTGTCATCTGCTGCTAACACCGCCTCTTTTATGTGAACGCGCTCCCGGCTGGATTGGGAAACCCCGGGTTGAGTTACAGAGTTGATAACCGGCTTCGTGGTGCCGCTTATCCCGATTGTGATTGTTAGGGTTAGTTAAACCAGATAACGAAAATATATCCTGGGTATGTTGAACTCGCTTTGTGGTACAGGCCCCAGGTCAAATTCAAAAAATGGTTTATTTGACAACAGAAGGCAAGCACACTTACTTCAGAGTGGCTGAGTCCAAAATGAAATGATCCACAAATAAATCCGAAATGCACAAAACATAAGGAAACAGGATGACATGACGAGACAGAGCTAGGCAGGCAATACACTGCAATGACATGACACAGACTGAGGAAACAAGCAAGCATATATACACAGGGGGGCTTTCCGAAACTAGACCCTCGCCACTTTCACTCCGACACAGAGTGAACTTACGACACTATGGGAACGCCTGTAGGCGTAGCAGGTCTGAACATGAATGAAATCACTCCAGTCCTATTGGTTTGTTGCTAGAATGGTAAGGTGTGACGGAATAACCGGAGGAGTATAAAGCACACCTGTACACACTCATCATTAGCTTAAACTATGAAGCAGGCGCTTCAGGCGGGGAGAGAGGTGCGGCGGGCCGATGCAGTGTCTCGTTCCCCTTCTCGGGGAACCAGGGTTACATACGTAACCTGAGACGTTCCCCTTCGAGGGAACTCGAACTGCGTCGGTTACGACACTATGGGAACGAGATACCCACTAAATGTGCCGAAAACCCGCCTGCCCCAGTGTGCAATAAAGTGGCACGACTAAGAGGAGAGCGCACGAGTGCCAGGTGCCGAAGGAAGGTCAAGACTGTAAAACCGAATGAATGTGTGCGGAGTGGCCCAGCCAGCCGCTACACAAACATCCTGCAAAGAGGCCCCGGAAAGGAGGGCTCGAGAGGCCGCCATGCCCCTGGTCGAATGAGCCCTCACAGCCACAGGTGAAGGCAAACCGCACACCTGATAGGCCAGGGAAATAGTCTCAACAATCCAGTTGCTAATAGTATGTTTGATGCAGGGAGCCCAGCCCTGGGGGACCCAAAACACACTAGCAGCTGGTCAGCCTTCCTCCAACGGGAGAACCTCAGAGTGTAAATACTCAGTGCTCTGACCGGGCAGAGCAGAAGAAGTCTCCCATCCTCCGCCATCACATGAGGTGGAGGATGAAATGCCTGCAGCACTGTGGACCCTGCCGCACAAGAAGGCACTTTAGGGATGTATCCTGGACGAGGGTGTAGGATAGCCCTAATATTCCCCGGGGCAAACTCCAGGCTTTGCGGGGAAACCGAAAGCGCTTGGAGATCCCCCACCCTCCTCAGAGAGGTGATAGCAAGGAGGGTCTTGAGGGTCAAGTGCTTAGCCTCAGCTGACTCCAGGGTTTCGAAGGGGGCCTCAGCCAATGCCCCAAGAACCACCGCCAGATCCCAAGTGGGAACCTTGGACCAAGTCGCATGTCTCGTCCTCCGGGCACCACAGAGAAAACGTACAACCAAGGGAAGTTTCCCCAAAGACCCCTTCCTCAGAGGGGCGTGGAAAGATGAAATAGCTGCCACGTACACCTTGAGGGTGGAAGGGGAAAGACCAGCAGAGAACCGGTCCTGGAGGAACTCAAGCACCTGAACCACTGGGCAGGTAACCGGGTCCACCGACCGCTCCTTACACCAAGCAGAGAAAACACTCCACTTCAGGCCGTACATCCTCCGTGCAGACGGGGCCCTGGAGCTGAGGAGGGTCTCGACTGCTCCGGCTGTTAGACCCGCCTCTAGGTACTGTGCCCCCTCAGGGGCCAGACCCACAGTCGCCATACGGCGGGGCAAGGGTGAAGAACCCGGCCCTGCGTCTGGGACAGCAGGTCTCTCCTCAGAGGCGGGCCGTCCAGGAGCGACATGATGTCCGAGAACCACACCCGGGTTGGCCAGAACAGGGCTACGAGCAGTAGGCCGACATTTTCCTGGCGGACCCGCTCCAGAACCGGAAAAGCGTACAGACGTAGCCTCGGCCACGAATGTACCATGGCGTCCAGACCCAACGGGGCTGGAGGAACGAGAGAAAACCATAGCGGGCAGTGCGTAGTCTCTTGAGACGCAAACAGATCCACGTCTATGGGGCTGAACTCTCCGCACAAGAGCTTCACCACTTCGGGGTGAAATCTCTATTCCCCGGGCCTCAGCCCCTGCCTCGACAGCAGGTCTGCTCCCTGATTCTGCGTCCCCGGGAGATACATCGCCCTGAGCGATAGTAACCTCTGCTGGGACCACAGGAGGATCTGACGCGCCAGTCTGTACAGAGGGCGCGAGCGCAGACCGCCCTGGTGATTCAGATAGGCCACGACCGCTGTGTTGTCGGAACAAACCAGGACGTGGTGGCCTTGGAGATCGGGCAGGAAACTCCTTAGAGCCTGGAACACCGCCAACATCTCGAGACAGTTGATATGCCACTCGGACTGATGCACCTGCCAGGATCCCCTTGCAAAGCGGCTGCCCATGACCGCGCCCCAGCCCGTGAGGGAGGCGTCTGTCGAAAGGACCAGCCGGCGACAAGACCCTCCCAGCACGGGCCCCTGGGACAGGAACCAAGTTTCCTTCCAAACTGATAGGTAACGAAGACACTTGCGCGTAACCCAAATCAGATGGAAAGGATTTCCCCTCGGGGAAAAACCCTTGGTCCTTAGCCACCACTGCAGGGGTCTCATGTGCAGCAGTCCAGATGGTATTACGCTGGACGCAGACACCAGGAGACCCAACACTCGTTGAAAGTGTTTTATAGTGATGGGGTGACCCCCCTTTCACGGCAGCCAATATGGTGTTAACACGTGCCGGAGACAATTGTGCCCGCATTGTGGGTCGAATCCCATACTACCCCTAGGAGCCTCAGCCCTAAACGCAGCAGATGAGCCAGAACGACATCTCGATGCCGAACCGCCAACTCTCGAGACTGGGCTAGGATGAGCCAGTCATCGATGTAGTTGAAAATCCGGATGCCCTGGAGCTTCAGCGGGGCCAGTGCTGCATCCATACACTTGGTGAATGTGCGAGGGGCAAGTGCCAGGCAGAATGGAAGAACCCCGCTGCCATGTACAGGGGGGGATCTGAGAAAAGACTCCCCTACCCCGGTCCTACCTGGATGACGGTCCTCAGATCGCGTCTCTCAGAAGGCTGAGGTTGAGAGCGCCGCCTCGCTGCCCCAGCTCCTCGGGGCTCCTCGAGAAGCAACACTCCTCTCGGTAGGAGCTCGTAGAGGGAAGGGACCTACGCCTGGCAGCCTCAGCTGCCTTGGGTCCAGACCGGCGAGGGAGGTACTGGCGGAACGCTTCGCCCTGCATCTTAACGTGCTGGAACCGATCCTCCACCGAGTCCACCGCGTCACCGAAGAGGCCCGCCGTGCTCACCGGTGCATCGAGGAGGAAGCTCTTATCCTTCTCAGATATGCCCGCGAGGTTGAGCCATAGGTGACGCTCTGTGGCCACCAGAACCGACATGGACCAGCCAAAGTAGCGGCTGTTTCCTTGGTGGCCCGGAGAGACAGGTCCGTGGTTCTGCGAAGCTCCGCCAGACCTTCCTCAGAGGGACCCCCCCTCTGAACCATCTCCTGTAGCAGGTCGGCTTGGTAGGCTTGAAGCACCACCATGGGGTGCAAGCTCGCACCTGCCTGGCCCGCTGCCATGTACGCCTTCCCCACGAGCGTAGATGTAGTGCGACATGGCTTGGAGGGTAACGCCGGCTTCTCCAGGGAGGACGCAAGTCGAGGGGAGAGATAGCTCGCAAGCGCATCCTCCACCCGAGGCATCCTCCCATAACCACGGTCCCTAACCCCCATCACATTACTGTAGTTCAGTGATCGGGGTGTGGAAAGCCGTGTAGAGAAGGGTCTGCCCCATGATTTACTCAGTTCATCATGTAAATCAGGAAAGAATGGCAGAGACCGGCGTGGAGGTGGCGCGTGGTGCTTAAAAAACCTTTCATCAAGCTTACCACTAGCCTGTGGTGTCTGCTCCTCCTGTGGCCAGTTGATGTTGAGCTTAGCCACGGCTCTTGTCACCACCTCCAGCAGCTCTTCATAGTCGGGCGCCGCCTGATGACTCCGACCCGACACCCGGAAGTCATCGTCCACTATGCTGAGCACGTCCACCTCCTCGGAGTCGGATTGCTGCAGCGTCTCCGGATCCAAACCGCAAGCGGGAGAAGCCGAGAAACGGGCTCCCGAACGAGGAAAGGAAGCGTCGGAGCCAGCGGATGAAGGTCGGGAAAAAGCCTCAGCCGTCCCGAAATCCTCCGACAGATCACGCTGTGAACCCCATGAGTGAAGCCGCCGCAAATAAACAACAGTGGTATTAAGATTCAGGATTGATGTTGAGCAAAAGTGTGTTTTTTGCAGTAATGAAACTGAAAGCATTTGTCATTCATTTTGTGTTTGTGTCTAACATGACTTTATATATTTACGAAAAATAAATATTATATTCCTTTATGAAAAGATTGATATTCATTGTAAAGAAAAGCCTATAGGCCTATATTTGAACCTCTTTAACTTAGCCTATATGAAAAATGTTACATTCACAAATACAACATTTCAATATAAATCATATGGGCTACGTTGTTAACCTGTGAATGGTGACTTGACAATGTCAGGGTAGTTTCAAAATAAAAAATCCTACATGTTAACCGGCGAAGTCACACGCAACGCAAATTGAAAGAAAGCTCCCCCATCGTGCAGCAAAGGGTGTTACACACCTTCAACAAGCCAGCATCGGTGCTGACTCAGCATTTGAGGGTTTAACAACCCACTACCACTCAGCCCTCATTGGTTTCGGATGGCACTCAATGTGGCTGACCCTCTGCATGAACGCGCAAACGGAGTGGATGTATGTAGGGAGAGGGAGTAGCAAGCAGTTTCGGAAAGGCCCATGGGCTGAGGAGCTGGGAGGGGATACACAGGTGAAAGACATGAGGGACTAATCAAGCACACCAACAGGCAGAGAAAACAGCAGATACTAACAGATGCAAAACACAAGACCATACATTAATTGGAACTCAAAGTAGGCCTACTTAGCGGATAAGCAGGCAGAGGAATTGCTAAGGGGGATAGCAAATCTTAATGCAGAAAATACAGTGAACATAATAAGGCAAAACTAAACCAGGACAGACAGGCAAACTGAATAATAAACTGAACAACGAGGACAGACTATAGCAGAACAATCAGAATAATAATGAAACTAAACAGATTAGACCAGACACGCCCACAGTGTGACAACCACAGTGATGGTACTCCATCACACTACCCTCCCCTTCAGGGAAGTGCACCCATCCGCTTCACGCACACAGGCGTCCCTCACACATCCACCAACCGTACTTCTCCAATCCCAGGGTGCCCCCACTAGTGCTTCACCCATCTCTGGGGTCCCTCACACACAGGGGTTCACCAACCTTCGGGGTTCCTCATACGGTTCACACTCTGGGCACGCTTCCAAAGACCTCACTGCAAGCTATCCCAACACTGTCACCAGATTTAAACGCAGGTGTGCATGGTACCAAACAAGCAATGTGACCAGTTGCGGTTTGGTACTATGGAAACCCAGGTTCGACTCTAGGTGGGGTGACTGCTCTCTCCCATCACTACATATAGATGAATACTAAAAAATAGTATCAAGATCAAATTACGTGACCTCTGAAACAGTCAGTATTGCTCTCTTTTTCAGGTTTACCCCCCTCCAACGTGTCACCTCTGGCCTCTCCTTGCCCGTCTCCTCCCGTCCAGGGGACTCCTGTCTCCAGCCCCACTACAAAGACATGTTCAGTGCAGCTTCCTGAGCTGGCTGGGCCCCTGACAGAGAGGACCCCTGGCTCTGTGGCCCCCAAGAGCCACCACAGAGCCTTAACTCACAGCCAGAGTGCCCCGAGCTCCACCACCCCTCACTGGCGACCTCCGCTGCTCTGCGGCAGGTAACATTCTGAGCGACCGCACACCAGCTTAATTCTTCTGTTGCATTTTGATAAGTCATTGTTAATTTCAGATTCACAAATATTGGAATAAGGTTTCAGAAGCATCTGTGTCCATTTGTGTGAATTTCGTTTATCAGATACGTGAGAAGCCTAGCATGCATCCTCTGAATGTGTCAGTGTTTCTCTGCTCTCATTCTATCAGCTGTGGCAGGCCATTCAACAATCGACTAAACCATGGCGTAGAATCTGTTGACAAAGGAGACAGAATACCCCATCCAGGTAAACAGCTTGTGAGTGGTTGACCTTAGACATACAGTATCTATCCAACTGAGCAAATAAACATGACTCCTTAGGTAGTGTTTGAACATGTTTGGTCATGTGCAGTGTTTCTACTAAAAAACTAGTATTCCACAAACCAAACACAGTAATGAGGGTTTCTGGTGTAAGAGAAGGATCTGTGAATCTTAATGAAGTGAGTGATTAAAAAGGAAATGCTTTCAGAATTTAACCTCATTGATAAATATAGACTGTTCTTCCAGCTTATTTTCCAGGTTGATAATTTGATTCACTCAAACTGACCTTCTCCACAGCTGCCCTCATTGTAGCTTTGGATAACCACCAACATGGTTACGTCAATTCCCGCATGTCCAACGTGTGTGTTGTCTCTCCAGATGAGCGTGCCGTAGCTTCTTCGGACTACGACAGCACCTACGACAGCACCTACGAGACCAACCACAGTGACAGCAGCGACTTTGCACAGAATGAAGAGGATGGAGAAGGAGGCAAGAAGCCACCTGAAGCAAGGGAAGGTTGCAGGGAGTATTTGGCAGAGGGTATCGTTCTTCACCCGCTCCTGCCATCACCGGAGGTAGGCAATCAGACAGGCTTAGTTCGGTAACAAGAAAAAAGTCTCAGTTATCTGTAGGGCTGTCCCCGACTAAGGATTTACATAATCAAATCAGAATCGTCAAGTCCTGTCTATAGTCGACTGTTAGTCGAATCATGTGTGTTTTTGTGCACGGCGATTGCGAGCTGAAGCTTAACTGAGGCTTATCGTTGACCATTTTCCCTCTCTCTCTCTCTCTCTCTATTGCCTGCCATTCAGCGGTTTTGTGCAGAGTTTTTGCCGTGCTGCCACAACTACATGCACGTCACGGTTCCTCGTGGGTCTGTTTCAAGTAGCGGCTGTTGAAAAACGATATAATATTCTTTGTGTGGTTCATCAACGGTGATAAATTACCCGAAAGTCCCGCGAGGTGTGGACAACTCGGCACAACACTGATGAAGCTGGGGCTCCGTCTCTTCATCAAGTTTTCCTCCTGCCACTACACACACATACGCTAGGCCTACACATGCGCACTGATGACCCCGGGTTAGGGTTACAATTTTGGATTCATTCATTTGGGGTTTTTTTATTTTTACATGTTTATTTGAAACATTGAAAATTATTGAAATGTGTATTGTAATTGGCTGTATATTAACTTATTGGGAGAAAACTGGTAGTTCTATGTAAAATCAGACATTGAGCACCCCCATATCGCATAAATGGCATGATCCTTGTTTCGCTGCGAAGCTTCGACTGTGAGATTGACAGTCGAATCAGGCTCCGCCCATCAAAGCATCAAATCTTCGACTATTTGGGGGTCAGCCCTAGTTATCTGTTATGTGCTTCAAATCCCTCCAAATACAACAAGAAAGAAAGACGAATGGGTCATTTCATTCTCAATAAGAACAAATGAGTCATTTTAACAATTAGGTTTAATTTTTATAATGATTTAACTTTTATTTACTGTCATTAGGTAGATAACCTGTTTGATTAACAACAGACCATTTTGAAAGTGTTTTTTCTAAATGCTGTAAACCAAGCAGTGGTGCAATCAGCAAAATTGTGAACTGATCTAAACTTGCCTGTTGACCATCTAACAGTAGTGATGAATGTCATTTTACTGTACCTGCGAGTATCTTTCTGACTCTCTCTCCTCTGCACCTCTACCTTTACCTGCCAGGACAAGCCGGTCCTGGCCCAGGTGCCTCTGCTGATGGAGGGGCTAGAGCCTCTGATGAGTCAACTCAACAACTGGAACTTTCCCATTTTCAGTCTAGTGGAGAAGACCCACAGCAAGACAGGCTGCATCCTCAGTCAGGTAAACACAAATTAGTGAGGACATGTTGAAACCTATTGCATATGACATTTATTTAAAACATGTTGATATTGATTAAATTAAAGGAAGGAAGGAAGGAAGGAACTCATATTGATAGAAATGTTCATGGAAGTGTAATTAGCAGCTTAATGTGGGCAGTGAGAAGAGTAAATTAAGCTTGCTACAACAACAACACTAGAAAAACAATCTGTGACACATACAGTACAGTTTCCAAAATGTCATCAGTTCCAAAAGCAATTTTGTGTTAGTAATGTTAGACTTAGGATGGCCATGTGTTATTTAGAAATCCGTCTGTATACTCTTCTATGACCCTTTAAAGAATAAAACGTGTGCTGTGGAATGACAAGTGGCTTGACCCACAAGATCAGATTCTGACAAGCATGGTGTGAATAACACCGTAGCTCAGTCTTAATATCAGTTAGGAATAAGTTAGGATTGTTCTTAACAGGCATAATTATACATCTAAGCCTCTATGGAGATAATAGATGATTCACAGTATGTTTTCCTTGTGTTATGTACCAGGTCTCGTATAGGCTCTTTGAGGACACCGGCCTGTTTGAGACCTTCAGAATTCCCGTACAAGAGTTCATGAACTACTTCCATGCTTTGGAGAATGGATACAGGGTCATCCCTTGTGAGTAGAGGATCTCCATGTTTATCAAATTGTTTAAGTGAACTATTGATATCCAGTATTACCTTTATCGGCCACAAGGTGGATGCATTGCGTCATCAGTGAAATAAACCAGGCCTGCTTTCTGCTTCAGTGTGGCATGCTCATATTGACTGCAGTTCATTAACTAAGACCACGCCAATTGAGTTATAACAGATAGTTTATTTGGTTAAAGAGAAGGCTGAGGAAGGAAAGGATGGAGGAGAGGGATGTAGGGGTCGAGGAGAAAGGAATGAAGGGGTCAAGGGGGAAGTGATAAAGGGGTCGAGGGGAAAGGAATGAAGGGGTCGAGGGTGAGAGGTTGAGAAGGTAGGGATTAACACGGTTGATCTGGGTTGTGGTGGCCGGAGCGGAACCTGGGTGTCGAGAATCAGGGTGGGGGCACGTCTCAATAAGCGTCTTGCTTTATGATCCCCTGTGGTTCCTGTGGTAGAAAAAGAACAATTACTTTGGCGGAATTATGAATTTTAGCATGCATGTCTTTGATGGTGGGAGGAAACCGGAGCGCCAGGGGGAAACCCACACAAACACGTGGAGAACATGCAAACTCCACACAGAAAGGCCTGGGCTGACCGAGGTCTGGACCCAGGACCTTCTTGCAGTGAGGCCATAGTGCTGTCCATTGGGCCACCGTGCTGCCCATTGAAAGAGGTGAGAAACAGGGTTGGGGGGGGAAGGATGTGAGAACTGAGAAACGGGAGAGGAAGGGGTTAGACAGGCTTAAATAGTGTACGTATGTGCAGGTTCTTGGATTAGAGAGGCATAGGTGGATGAAATGAGTGAAGCACAGGTGGTTGGATTAATGAGAGAGAGAGGCGTGGTCTTGTTCCTGAACCTCAGTTATAATAACTATATTTATCAGGTGTTTTCTGTTTTCTGTTCATTTTGGCATTTAATATCAGAAGATGTTCACATGTTATTAACTAAAATATCTATGTCAATTCATGTTTAGACTGATGATGACAGATAGCTCAGTTTTTACATCTAAAATCTAAAAGGAATTTGAATAACAGTATGTGACGTAAGTAACATAAGTACATTTATTAGTGTTTTTGATTGATTGATTGATTAAAATATATGTATTTTTTTTAAATACTGTAGCTCTTATAACCAGTTTTATTTTTAGCACAGTTTCAGGGGGACAACTATATTTATGCACTAAGCTATTATTTTTAGGTAGTCCCTGCTCAGTGTGCTATATTTGCTTCAAATATGTAGATTTCACCAATCTCGTATACAAAAGTATGAGCCTTAGAACCATCCTGCTTAGCACTTTACTTAGAGATTACACAATTTCAGTATCTCAATTTTAAGATAACAGCTGACCACTATCAAGTAATATCAACCCTTTTCAAAAATACAATTTTATACATAAAAGCTCTGCTAATTTTACATTTTGGGATTATGTTTGAAAATTATCCTGCGTGATTGCATAACAGCACCTTGACTGCTTGACAAAGCTACATGAGCCATGCTACTTTTGTAAAAATGTGTTGATATTGGTGTTGCCGGTGTTCTGTCGATTTATGCTACCTATCGAGATGTGCTACGTAGCGGTTCTGCGCATGCATTTGACCCACAAGCGTGGTCTGTTTCCACAGCCATAAATCTGTGCAACCTTGCTGTTGGGCATGCTGTCGATACAGTGACTGATCGTCAGCAATATCAAAAATAATCATTATTGATCTATTAGAATACGCTACCCCTGGTATTTTAAATAAAAATGGCACAATATAGTATTTCAACATGCTCCCCCTCTCCTTACAGTACACACGGAGGCAGTGAGTGCAGTATAAAATGATTCTGTAGTGGGAGCATGATAGGGGATATTAGCCAGAATACGCTACCCCTGAAATTATGTTAAAATATAATCAAAAACAGATGTCATAATAATGTGAGAGTTATAAATTTATGGGATTGGAAAAGGGAACATATAAGATAGCATTTTTCGATAGGGCAGAGCGACTCGATAGACTCTGGTATCGATTTGTGCTGTGGTAGCATTTTTCGACAAGGCAGCATCGTCAGAACACCGGCGGAAGTGCTTCCGTGTGACGTGGAGGTCACGTACCGATCCTTGGGCTGATGTCTGCGACTTTGCTGCAGTGGAATAAAGACACGATTGAGTTTACTTTCTATTGTGATAGTTCTTGCCTGGCCACATCTTACTCTAGTGAGGAGGAAACTTTGATATGTAGTGGCAGAAACTTGTTTCCATGAGATGAGATGAGAGATTTCTCTCTCTCTTTCTCTCAGGCCTATTGCCATGAATGTTTAGATTGTTTAGGTTGCAGTGTTGCCAGAGCACAAATTCATATATAAACAATACAAAATATATAATTAATAAACAATGAAATTACATTATAAAAACTAAAGAAAGAGGAATAAAAACAACAAAAACACAATATAGGCCTATGTTACACTGAAAATATGTCTTGCTTTTTGACAAGCAGTAGAATTTTTCAAAGGAACAATTATTAAAATAACAAACAATCTTTATGATAATAATGTGATAATTAAGTTACTTTATACAAACAACAATGGTTCTCAGTTTGTTGAGAAAAAAATTAGTATTGAAAGTATTGTTCAGGAACCGATATCGAAGTCGAGGTATCGTATCAATATCGAAAATCTTTGAACGATACCCAGCCCTAGCTGGGATTTCAACACAATGATCAAAGTGATCTGGCATTTCATCACTGTTGCCCTCCACTGGTGTGAATTAGTGTTTAATTTTACTCTCCCCAGATCACAACCGGATCCATGCCACTGACGTACTTCATGCGGTTTGGTACCTCACCACGCAGCCTGTGCCAGGCCTGCCCGCCCTGCTGACTGAGAATGGGATACACATTGGTGAGGACCTTTAATACAAACAGTACTTCTTTGAGATCAACTCACACTCATGAACAAAACAAAAAAAAAATCCAACCTCATATCATATTAATATCACACACATTCACAGACTTCACAGAAACAAAAACTGAGTTACAAAAATATACACATTGTAGCATTGCATGCATTTATTCAGACACACAATCACACAATGGTGAATAAATCTGCATTCACAAACAAAGGAGAAGTAAGCATGCAATAAGTGGATAAGAAGTGAAAGTACGGCAGAAATGAGGCCATTGTGAAAAGAAACAGCCATTTATAATTTGCACCAGTTCTAATCAGTCAACATATGTTTGTTTGTTAAATGATGTTTAATTGATTTAAACCTAGTTACAACATGACTCATTTTGCATTTGTTTGAAATAGTTTAGAAATTTGGCAAACTCAGTTAGCTATTTAATTGATCCCATCCACTACTGAACTTCTGTATGTACGATTGGCCCCACAAGACTAACAGTAGAGTAAATAAGAGTTGCTTTTAATCTTCTTGACATATCAGTTATCATTTTACAACATCCTGGTGAAAGAGACTGTAGAGCAGGTGAAATGAGACAAAATGCTGAAAGTTTCTTTCAGAGTAAACAGTCTGAGAGCACCGGGTTTAACAGTAATTAAGTAAATAGTAGTAAGTAAGTGGTGGCAGCATTTGAACAGATCAGCATTGGTGACTGGGGCATGAGCTGTGTTCTTTTTTTTGCCTGTAGACTCAGAGAATGGCATTACACCTGGTGCCACAGGCTTCCTGGTGTCCAAGATGAACTCTGTGCTGGAGGAAAGCTATGGCTCCCTGGCTGGCCTTATCCCTGCCTTGGAGCTCATGGCCCTGTATGTAGCCGCTGCCATGCACGACTATGACCATCCCGGAAGAACCAACGCCTTCCTAGTAGCTACCAGTGCACCACAGGTGAAAATGTTGTGTGGGCTGTGGTGATGGATTGATGAAGAGGTGGTACTGATGGATAATGAGGATAATTTACTGTTGATTTCATAAAAACAAGGGAAGCTCAAATTGTAATCAAGTCAATTCATTTTTTGTCAGTAAGTTGAAGTAACCTGTTACTACTACTGCAATCAGGGGTTCATCCATGAAGGGAAAAATTGGAACCCCCAAAAATACAACAACCTAGGGAAATATGCCACAAAAAACTACAGGATTCATATTTCACCACAGTTTAAAACAGCTTGATATTATCACATTACAAGTAATAAGTAATACCAAAACACTGCTCAAAAGTAGAAGGCAATATAGCGAAGAACATAAATCACCCACAGTCAGATGTGCACGATAGCAGGACATATGCAGATCAGAGTTGAGGATCTTGCTGTAGTCACCTTCAGGCCTGAAAGTAAAGTAATTCAGCTATTAATCGTAATCTTAATTTCTTCAGCCCACATCACAATTTAAACAAGGCGATAAATAAGACCATGCAAGCCCCTATGTGTTTCACAGGTAATGTTCAACAATCACTGTCTCCTCTTGGTCTTCCACCGTAGGCTCTTCTATACAATGATCGTTCAGTCTTGGAAAATCACCATGCGGCATCAGCGTGGAACCTCTTCATGTCTCGACCTGAGTATAACTTCCTGGTTAACCTTGAACATGTGGAGTTCAAGCGCTTCCGCTTCCTAGTCATCGAAGCCATCCTGGCCACCGACCTCAAAAAGCACTTTGATTTCCTTGCAGAGTTTAATGCAAAGGTAAACCTGTAAAACCGAAAAAATGACCATCCATCAGCAATTATTGTTATCATTCAATCTGAATTAAAAATCTCAGATTGTCCTAAACTTCAGTTGACAACCATTCAGTTAGGAATATTTAGGTTTCTCTTTACACAAACCCTCCTGTGCACACCTCTCCAGGTGGGTGATGAAGGAGTGTCCGGTATTGATTGGACCAACGAAAACGACAGATTGCTGGTGTGCCAGATGTGCATCAAGCTAGCTGATGTCAATGGGCCGCTGAAGTGTAAGGAGCTGCACCTGCAGTGGACGGAGGGGATCGTCAACGAGTTCTACGAACAAGTATGCTTATAAATATCTGCATCTTATCCCTTTCAAAGATATTTGGATTTAGATAGATAGCACCTCACACATAGATCGATCGGAGTGTACTGGAAATAGGCAAAAATGGTTGGTCATAGAGAGTGACAGTCACCAAACAACCCACCACACCTCTGTCATCAAGCAATTTTCCTTTTTTGCTCACCTTCCTCCACCGTGAGGTCAGACTCAACGACACAGCACCGCCTCTGCAGATGATAGGGATTTCTTGCTCAAGGACCCTTCAGCAAGGTTTTATGTGTGAGACTGGATGTTCCCTCTAAAGAGTAACAATAGCCAACAGCCTACAAGCTCATGAATTTGTTAGAGACTGCATTTGACGAATGCTTGGCAACAAATCCTGTTCTTAACTAAACAATCCCTCTTATTGGTCAGTTCTGTTAGTACCGAGCAAGTCGATAAAGATCACATCTAATGGGAGAGAGTTGTGATTACTTACCAAGCAGCGATATGTTGTAAGTAGAAAAGCACTAATTTGACATAATTGAAGCTATTGTATACACTGCAGTCAGTGGTATCATAATGTCATTCTTCTCAAAATGAAAGATCTTTGTATTTGTACACAGATGTATGGCTCTAACAGACGTTTGTTATCACAAGGTTTCTTTTGACAAGCGGCAAGCTCACTATCATCTATTTGGTTATTATTTTGTCATTCAATCAAGGGAACTTACTCACATGTACCAACGATATCAAAACACTGTGTAGCAGCTAGACACCTCTAATCAGAGGGGCGCTGATTACTCAGGAAAACGTCCTCCCTTTGATCTGTTTCTGAAGCTTAGCATTCTGCTATTCCTTTCAAACCTTCTAATTCTCATAATAGCTTTGAGAATTATGTAGGTCCTTTGAGCAGGAGCATCAGGGGTTGGGTGGAGTAAGACAGAGTGCATGAGAGACAGAGGGTGTGCGTATGTTTTTCTCTTCAGAGGGGAGACGGATGACCTAAATGAGTCATCTTTCACAGCGCTCATTCACAGTCACACAGAGGAACATCACAGGGATGGAACTGACGCTCTCAGCGACAACAGAGTCAGTACAGATGTGCACACACACACACACACACACACACACACACACACTCACACACACACACACACACACACACACACAAGTATGCATTTACATTATATTCTGCAATGCACCACTTTAATATTCAAAACCAATAATAGTCATTTCTGGTACTGATAAACAATTCCCTCTTTGTCCCCACTCCTGCTATACACACACACACACACACACACACACACACACACACATACACACACACACACACTCACACACACCTCTCACGCGAACCACTACTGCAGTGCACTGACGCCATTCAGGTTTCAGGTTGCCATAGCAATGGGAGCCCTTTCCCCTCTGTCCTCCTATTGAATCACTATTAAAGCCCTGACAATGGGAAAACAAACACAAAAGCACTGTACATGACTGTCAGAATATGTGAAAGTAATAATAAAAATTATAATAATACATTTGTTTATATAGTACCTTTTAAAAACTTAAGACTTAAGATAAAATTAAAACAAGAAGTCAAGAGACACGAAAGTGCAAAACTCAAAATGTCAATATAAATGAATACAAATAAAAAGCAATAAAAACCACAAGCCACCTTTATTGAAGAAATGTTCAAGAATGAAAAATATCTTAAAATAAATAAGCTTATTTAAAAAAGTCATTTATTTGGGAAATGTTTGTTTTATTTAGATTCTGTTGAGAAAATCAACTCATACAATTCCATTTTTTGTTTATTTTCTATTGGGTGCAATGTATTTTGCTGGAACAGACACCGAACAGGTGTATTGCAAAGATTTCTATAGATATTGCCTTAGTTTGTGTGAATAAAAACAGTTCCATCAGTAATGCTATCAGCAGAAGAAATCCAATAATGAGATTCTAATAATTTTGGCTGTCTCGAGCTGTCACTGTTATCTGATACAAAATAGAAAAGTGGAAAAGGCATGAATGACAAATAACCCAAGGACGAGCAAGGAAAAGCATGTATCCACTTTGCCTTGTGTTTATCTGGTCTCCATTTCCAGTAGACACTTATATAAGTCATACAAATGGCTCATTCAGCAAATACAATTACAAACATCTGATATATTGTGGGGAGTCAGACCTGGTTGTTGCGCCCTGTCTATGCATATTTGGTGGCCAAAGATAATTAGTCGGAATATTTATGTCAGTATTTATCAGTGGTGACCTTGTGGGTAACAAAGAAGACAAAATGTACGTTTGACTTTAATCAATTCAGGTGATATAAAGTTTACCTACATGTGAAGGCCTGAGGAAATGTTAATATGTTATATACTAAATATATAATTAAATACTAAATATATAATAGTTACAAATGGACAAAAATATAGAAATGAAACAAAAAATGAAATAAATGCAAGGAGAAATATATGTCAAAAATTAATGATGATGAAAGCATAACATGCAGAGAGAAACATTAATTTACAAAAACTGAAGAGGAAAAACACAACTGGCCTTGGTGCAGCAGCAAAGCCTGAACACAAATATGAAACATTCACCAAAACCTCTTATAGAAAATGTTTTCTTATATTTAAAAGAACTCAAAGATGTTGTGTGCCTGGCCTCAATAGGCAAAGTGTTATAATGTCTGTATGGTTTAACAGTAAAGGCTTTGAATTATAGTATGTTTGTATGTTTTATGCTTTTTGAGAGGTAATTATGCCATATGTTTTATTTTGTAAGCAGTACTTTGAATATGCAGTCCAGTAACAAAGCAAACGGAAGGAACTGACCTATTTTTGTACCATTTGTCTTGTCTGCAGTGGGTAAATCTCCTGTTCACTTGCTCTGTGAGTGAAAAAGATCTGAGAATAAAAATAAATAAAACCAACTATATATTGTATTCATGTATGATCAGATTGGATTTTGGTTGTTTATAGTGACTTTAACTGGACAGAAACAGAAGCCTAAAAATCTCAAATTTATTCTCTACTAATTTTAGAAAGTTTGAATTCAAATATGTCATGAATTCTTAAGAACTGATGTTCAGTAGAATGAAGAGACTCATTTCAAGGCACTAACTCTTTTTGGTCCTGGAGCTATAAAAATATGGGGCAGTGGAGAAAAAGATGTCTCTCTCTCTCTTGAAATCACATCATTATATAAGATAAAAGTTCCCTTTCCCAGTACATTTACATTTTATCATTTCTGTGCATCTGACATATTTGCAATGTTTGTATCCTTCTAGGGTGACGAAGAAGCAAGCCTGGGACTTCCCATCAGCCCATTCATGGACCGGTCCGCTCCGCAGCTCGCCAAACTACAGGAGTCGTTCATCACTCACATTGTGGGACCTCTGTGCTCTTCCTACGACTCTGCTGCCCTTATGCCAGGCCGTTGGGTTGACCCACCTGTGGAAGAGACGGAGCAAGAGGAGGCAAAGGAAGGACAAGATACAGAAGAGGAAGGGGAGGATATGGCAGATGAGGACGCATCAACAAGTTCTGACACCTCCCGTATGTCAACCTCTTAATAATCTATTCACTCAGTGTATTGAGAGTGTGCCCTGATTTATTCACTTTGTAAAAACATAATGTCCTGTAGCTCGGTGGGTGATTTGACTGGTTTGCTCATCTGTTGGGGTAAAGTTGAGATTGTAAATTAGTGCTGTTGCTTACCTTTTGTAGGTTCAATCACAGGACTTAGTCTGACAGTTTTAGTGGTAGCGATTGTCGATTTGTGGCTTGGTTGATTTAGAGAGGAACAGGCTCAAGATTTTGAGTTTCACCTCACTTCATTCACCATGTGCACCAAAATGAATTAGTTAAGGGAATGTAATTGTGTAGCATTGTTTCTAAATAATCTGAAAAGCACTACTTATGCTGACAACTACTGATGTGCAAGAGAGCACTCCTATCCACCTTATCATTGCTTATAATGTAGCACAGTATGTATAGTTATAACCAGTTTTCTCATGTTATGGTACTTGGCCCAATTCAAATGAGTTTCATGGTGAGCTATATTGCTTGGATTGACCTCACACCTGAGTTGACGGTGTTCCAGTTAACAAGTCGGAAAACCTTGCTCGGCCAGCCGTTGTTTACAATTAGCCAGGTTAGCCATTGTTGAGCCGGTTGATAAAAAAAATGCAATCTGCAGTATTTACTCATACTAAACACTGGAGCAACACGTGGACTTTTTAAACTTTGGACAAAGTCAGTCTATCTATTTTGCCCTTTTTGCATGCATTACGCTAAGCTAAGCTAAGTTAAGCTAACTGTCTCCTGGCTGACATAAGAATGGTAGCACTCTGACCTATGGCAAGAAAAGCAAGTCTCATATCCGACTTTTCTCAGGAGCTTGTCTAACTGTTGGCTTTGTGTCTGACAGAGCGACAAGAGACCAAAAAGGTGAGCAGGCGGAAAGTGTTTTGCCAGATCACACAGCATCTTTTGGAAAACCATGAAATGTGGAAAAGAGTCATTGCTGCAGAAGCCCAGGAGGAGGACAAGAAAGACGACCCGAACTGCATTAGCAGCCCCACTGATCCAATCACAGCCATTCATGAGGAAGAGGAGGAGCAAGCAAGCAAAGAGGAGGAGTCGACTGACTGCCTTGATGAAAGGGAAGAGGTGCCGGCTATAGAGGAAGAGGAAATCTTTCTGCAATCGGAGACTTCAGGGCAAATAGAGGAGGAACCAGAGTGATATTATAAACTTTGGCCTCCTCATAAACCAGGAATCTGAACGTTGTCTAAAAATGTTTGTTTCTTTCCTAACTAAACTCTTGATATGGTAGCCAGCACATCACTTTGACACAACACTGTAGAAGATGTTTTGGGTAATATGTGCCTAACAAAAACTGGGTTTGAGGACAGGGATGATGCATGCCCAGGTCATCTGACAAAGGGAGGGAGGTGAGATGAGCAAAAGATGAAGGGACTAAGAAGTAGAGGGAAAAGATGTACAAGAAAAAAAGAATGACTGTGACGGTATTTGTTTTTGTTGTAGTGTTTGTTTTATGGATCTGGTGCCCTGCCCTCACCCAGGCTGCCCATCCTGCACTACGGGCCAAGCACGCTGATTCACAGATTCACTCCACCAGTGAGTAATACACTGTCACGAGTCCACCCCACCCGCTACCCCACCTTTCTTGTTGCTCCGATGCTATCAGGACACTGTGGAGCCACCCAGCTTGTTGAGGATGTGCAACAAGCCCCTTCTCCTTGAAGACAATGGGATGAAAGCCAGGGAAAAAGCTGTGTCCACTGAGGCTCAGCCATGTGGATTTCAGAAGGAGACGGAAAATAGGGCCAGTTGTAGCACATTGTGTGTACAGACACTCACCCAACACAAGCTTCACAGCCACAGACACACACACACACACACACACACACACACACACACACACAATGCTACAGTAGAAACACATTCCATACTCAGAACAGATAGGAAATTTAACAAAGAACCCTGTTGCTTTAAAAGCTTTATTCTCGCTCAAGGAAAAACATACAAAACAAGGTTTTGTTCATGTCAAACGATGGTTGTCCTACTTTGCGTGTTTTCCCCCTAGCTTTTGTTCCTTGAAGACATCTACAAGTTTCCAGCCACACAACTCAGGAAGCTAGAAACCTGTAGAAAAAAAAGGAAAGCTATAAGAACTTCCAGTGTTCTTTTACTTGCCACTGTTTTAAGATTTCCTTTCTGTGCTTTTTGTGGTTCCCTTTGTGAATCACAAAGGAACCACAAGGGAAACAAGATTATTGATCCCATTATACTGAATATCATGATTCTATTTAATTTCGTCTGCTTCCTCTGTGTCAGCCTCCCATTGGTCCCTATGCTATAACACAGCAGATCATACTGTTAACCACACTAATTTACAAGATATAAAACTACGTAATAAGGTAATGTGTTTGGTAAATATCATTTGTGTCCACATTTTATGTCACCTCACAACTTGTTTGCTTAATCTAGAATTAGACAAGAATTCTGTCTTCCTGGCAATATCATTTATAGCCTGGTATGTAGGCCAAATGTTTCAGAAAGTAATCCTGTAAGCCATAGTGGCAGTAGCGTAAGGTAGTAACAACGGGCCCGAGTGCAGGCTGTTATGATGGGCCCTTGGGCTAAACAGTTACGAAGCACACGCGTGCGCACACATACACACACACACACACACACACACACACACACACACACACACACACACACTGTGTTCGTGTCTAGAAGTGAACCCTATAATGGCAAATTTCTGTGCCTTGTTTCCTCGTTGTGCATGGTTTAACAACTTATTAGATTAGAAGCAGTAAATACCTAACCTACTTAATTTAAAGCTCCTTAAATCAATTTCTTTTCATATTAACATATTAAATTCAGCAGTTCTCTTTGTGTGCATCTCTCTCCAACACACACACACTGCTGCTGCTGCAGCAGCTGTGTTGCGTGCGCCTAGACGCAGCAATCTAAAGTGCCATCATGTGATGGATCTTAGAGTTGGACTGTGTCACCTAGACTTTTGTATTTGCAAAGTAGGCAACAGAAATCAAAGATAAAGTTATAAGGAGCATGGCCAGTGCTGTCATTGTCAAAATCCTGAAATGTCACTGCAAACAGCTGAGTGCAGGGGAGGTGTCCACTGTGCTGAAATGAGGCAGATTTTATGGGCATTTTCAGTACAATAACCTCCCAAATCACGGCAAACACATTCGACAGAGAGGCAAGACATTATGGTGAATAAGAAAGAAAAGTGGGCTACCCATAACACAACACCATGTCCTGAAAACAGGCCAGCAAAGGCGCACACACAATTTAATACCCACAAGCACATCCACACAAACAGGTGCTCAGCAGCGACATGTCCCCGAAATGATAAACAGTGGCACGGCAGCTGCACCAAATCCGCTGAAAAAGCACTTATAAAGTTACTCACCTATTTGAAAGGCATCCGACGAGCCTGCATTGAGCGAAATCTTTGACAATATCCTCAGTAAAAAATCCAAAACAATCTTATTTGGGAGCTTTGCGACCCTCTCCTCCTGTTCTTTTCTCTCCTGTCTCTTCTTAAAATTACTTTTATGTTTGAATGGCATGACTGCAAGCTTGCTCTACTAGTCTACTTGTCAGATTTTGCATTTCACCTGGTTTCTGGAGTCTTGTTGTCTTGTCACTAGATTGGGCAGCCATACACATATTACCCAGCAATCATCACTGCATATGTGGGCTATGTGACATGAATACCAAAGAAAATAAGTAATAACTAAAATCATTCTGTGGAATCTGTGGAATAAATTTTTTTGTTTTTTTATATTTCACCGTTTACCTTATAGCATACTGCTTGCTACTTTTGTCTTGACAAAAGTCTGTGGTGTCAGACACCATGGCAAAGGAGGAAATGCACATCTGAGTGTATATCTACCACTCTCTGTTAATATAAAAAGTTTGAGGTGAGCTGGGTGTCTACTGTCATGATGATGAGACTAGATGAATTTTCACTATGTAACTGACAAAGTCCAGCTCGTGACATGGTGGGGCTGCTCCTGTCACGGGCCCCCTGTATAGTGCAATTCAGTGCAGCTTCACTGTCTGCACTGTCAATACCTACGTCCCTGCATAGTGGCCTGGGCCAGAGCTGACTCACAGCTCCAAATCACCCAAGAGGATATACAGTACGTCAATAAGACATTTAAAAAAGCTACCCTGTGGAGCCTATTGCCATCCAGGGGAAGCTGTGTACCCACAATATATTATCTGCAAGCCTCAATTGGATCCATATCATTCAATCTTTCATTATTTTGTTGCACAAAAAAGGCAAAGAATTTATTATTAACCTTTTCTGAGCCATGGAACCCAGTTTACTTACTATGACTTACTCAAATACTGTCAAATTTAGGATTAGTGGCGTGCAAGCCTCATGGTCTCAAATATGGTTTTCTGTAATCTTCTGTGACACTGTCAGGGTTTACCTACACTGAGGAAATCAAGTTGAGTTTTAGAAGCAGTCGATCCTCACTGACAGCAAATAAAAAAGGCACAATGATAGATGTAAGACACAGACAATGATCTGCGGTCACTGCAAATCTGCATAGTTCCTTTTTATTGTAACATATTTTGGTCAAAAGTTCTACAGAGTAAGCCGACAGTTCCATTGAAATCTGATCGTAGACCAGCAGACTCACCACATCTCTAGATTTCTTTTCTCTCCATTTGTAGTCACTGATGACATTACATACAGCTTAACAGGTTGTGTCAGTGCTCTCCTTTGATGTCTTTAAAGATTTAGATTGGTGGTGATGGAGGAAAGTGTGAACAAGGAGAACAGCCTTAGTAATGAGGCTTAGTAATGAAAGAGGAAGGAAGAGAGAGAGAAGCCTCTTAGCTTGACTTGCAGCTGTGTCAGAGGGGTCTCAGATATTTTTTCAAATTTCAACAGATTCCACTCGATGTAACTCTTTGAAGATGAGCCAGTTCAGTCGGATTCAAAGTCATGTGATGATCTATGTCTGCAAAAAGTCTGAAAGGATATGCAGTATGGTATATTTGAGCTGACATCAGAAAAGCAACACGGGCACTTGTTAAGTCACCATCAACATTCAAAAACAAAATAGCAAACAGTCAATATCAAGCTGTGCAAGTCGCGAGTTGCAGGTGAGTTCCTGGGTGAGGGTCGACCACTCTGATCGCTACTGTTTTGAAATTGAAACAGCAACAATGACATGAAAACCTCAATGACAAAGAACACAAGATAGAAATACACAACATCCACTAAGGACATAAAACACTTTATGCAACCAGTCCATTAGACAGTATTCACATACGCTGGATAAAAACAGACTGAGCAATCTATTAAACACTTGCCCTACTGTGACCTAATTTCTTAACTCATTTAGAGTTTTGCTAACGTTAATACTGTCTAAATCCTCGGCTGTATCCATTGCACTGTTATCAAAATGCCCATTGTGCAAAGGATGGCTAAACTGTGCAACATAATGCCCTTGACTGCTTATTCCCTGTACTTACAAAAGGGCGCAGTGGTTGAGCTTGTTTTTACTGCTATGAAAAAGGAAGCATGTGTTAACCAAAGCCTGAGCGTATTGTTCGTGTTTAGTTCAAGTTTTGACCTCTTAAAAGTCTGTTTTTTATTTTATTTTTGATAGCTATTGCAGACATTCAAAGATGGAATTTTTATTTTGAAACACCCAATTGGGTTTGGCTGTACAAATCAATTAAAAGCGAAATGCCCTAATGTTTATTATGTTGCTCAGCAACAGAAGAAAGTAAAAGTCTAATCCCTGAAACAATGTGTGTCTTACCTGCCAACACAAATGGTAGCAGCGTATTTGTAGCGTATGCAGCAAGATGCAGGAAGTGCCCTCCTGGACCAAATGTCTTCCAATAGCCTCTCCTTGCATTGGCTTGTCATACTACCTGTAGCAGTGAAAATGATCTTTAAACACCAGCTGATACACCACTGGTCTGTGGGTCATGTAAGGCATTGACTGAGGTCTTTTAGTTGAGCATTTCTGAAGCTCTGTACAGAAATGTAGCTTTCAAACCTTAGTTATTCTAAAAATAACCATGACTGTAAAAAGATTTTGATGAAAAATGAATGAGCTTGAGCTTCATGCACTGTAAATACCCTTCGCACCATACAGTATATCAATGCCTCACTTACAATCTAATGTGCATCCTATTGCTATGTATTTCCCACACTTGTACCATCCCATGCTCCATCTCTGTGTTTAGAAATGTGTCAGCTTTCTCACACTCCCTTCACTTATTTGCTTGAATTTTGTGTGATCAGAGATTTCAAAGCTCACTAGGGATTGAGTTAGTTAAAATAGACTCTCCCCTCCTCTGATCTCCCAGTCCTGCCTCACTAACTTTATACACTACAGTGCATCAATCAAAGAGACTTAATCAAAGCTGTGATAGAATTTACGGTCACTATTTTTGTCATAAACAATCCAAAATGAATGAGACATATGGGGGTAGTCAACTGGTCAAGTTTCCATTAATTGTTTAAGAGCAGGTTTCAGTTCTTGTTGCAATGAAATTAAAGGACCATGCCAGCGTTTTTGCAAAAATCTTTGCTTTACTACAACTCATTTATACTTAACCATTTTCAAATGCCATTGGATTTTTTATTTCTCTACAGCATGATAATGTATTGGCACAGTTCAGTACAGTGAACATTTGTCTGTATTAATTTGCATTGTTATACAGTTTAAGTGTAGACTAATTTGAAAACTAAGCACTGCATTACTTCACAACAACACTGCAACTTGGAAACATAATGCAGACTCGATGTTTGTTGGGGTGGATCACATAACTCAAACACATTTAAAGAGTATGCCAATAGATTTTCATGTTTCATCAACATGGGCCACTGGTTTGTATAAGGCAATTGCATGGCATTCATAAATCCCGTTTTGCAATATCTTTGTCTAAAAACTGGGCCAGGAAAAAAGTACAGGGTCTACAACTAAATTATGTCCGTTTCTTGAAGCCAGTACCAGTGGTTTCTTTTAAATGATGAGAAGAAGGGGATTGTTGCACACTAGATTAACTTGTGCAAACCAAAGAAACTTTTTGAGCTGTGTTTTTTTGTGATTTGCACAAAATTAGCCCTATTAGCCCTGTTTCTTGCATCTTCTTATTTGTCAGTTTTGTCCAGAACCAAGGCACAGTGTCTGGATATGCATATACTTTGTAACAGTTCTCATGTGAAGACTTTACTGTCTGTTATTATTTCACTGCCGTGTCAGTACGCAGCAGTAGCACTTCAATGGAACTGACCAACTGTTCTCAGACTGAAGCCCAGACCCAAGTTTCTTTTGATGGTTTGAACCAAAAACATTCCTTTTTGTATTGTTTGTTGTTTCAGCCATTTTAAAAAGGCGCTCCTGTGCCATAACAGTTTTCATATGTATGTATGTATGTATGTATACATTGTTTGAATGCTGTATTCGTCAGCTTTCCTTGTTTGTCACAAAGGAAACCAAAACAAACTTTTTTTCACCACCTTTAAAGCAAGACAAACAAGACTGGTATGTTTTATCTACCATAACAGGCACTTCACTCAATTATTGACTCAATTATTTTCTTCTCTCCAGTATCTTGCACTTAACACATGTAGCAATACCTACAGGATGGGGAAATTGTGTGATTCACCAGTATTTGTTTAAGTGAAATATTACATTTTATTTCTAGATATTGTTTGACTTTGTATAAAAATATATACTGTACAGATTCAAAAGTATATTATAACAAAAAACTTTTAGAAAAATATTTATTTTTACTGTTTTGTAATTTAGACACAATACTGTAGCTCCTCTATTGCCAGACTTACTGGAAGTGCCTCTCGATAATGTATTACAAAGTAACTATACAATATATTGGGATTATTAGAACATGTCACTAGCAGAGCAGTGTTGATGTTGTAATGTGAATATTGTTGAATAATAACATTTATAAATGCTGCACATGTGTTTGTCTTGTTCTTTGGCCATTTCTCCAATAACTTGTGGGTCATTTTTTAGTTGAAATTGTAATTAGATATACGAGTTTGACTTCATATGAGTTGCATTGTTGTTCCAACAATGCTGATCAAATATATTCAGCTGGTAATGACCAACAAGTATTCAATATATTTGCATGATTAAAGTATATTTTCCAGTCCTGTTGGTCTATAATTAGTCACCTTGAAATACAGTATGGCCAAGCCTAACTAACATAAAGCACAGATCTCTGCCTTTAGCCTATTTAATTGTGGCTCTGACCATATGTGCTGATGACTTTGTAATAAATAATGCTGTTAGATGTTCCTGTATTTTCTGCCAGAATGAACGTTGTGTTTATAATTAACTTTGTCAGTAATGGTAGTGTAGCTAAGTGCAATACAGTGTAACACTGTTCTGCACACTATTAAGAAAGCACTGAGTGTCAACATAAACAGACCTCTTCACTCCCATACTCCCCAATCTCAGTTTAGTATATTCTACCTAGGGTCCAAAATATGGATTTCTCTGCTTTTACATTTTTTTAATTTTGTCTTCAAAGCAGTTTAACAGATCCCTAAAATCACTTATTCTAACCAAACAATACTTTCCATATGGACTGCTTATATAAGCTTGGTCCAACTACTTTTTCCCTTTTTCTCATACAAGTTTAAAGGCTTATTATAAATATGTGTGTTTTTGTTTCATTATTTGGGTTTATTTTGTCCTTTTTCTTTTTTGTCTTATGAAATATCTAAGCCATATCACATAAGTGTGTGTTCTTCAGTTGCTAATGATAGTGTTTGTGTATAGGCTACATGAATGTATTATGATTGATTGTCTTGATGTGTGTGTCTTAAGACTATGACTGATTAAGTATACTTGTGTAACAGATGGCCGTTAATGGAGTGCTTTGTTGTTTATTATGTCTAAAATTATTCTTACATATATACAAATTGTGTATAGGCAATACTACACTGTAATTATTTCCTGAAATATACTGCCTAGAGAATCAGATTTTTCAAGCCCCTGGAGGGTTTTTAGGCAATTCTTTCTTTAAAAAAGATGTGTAGATAAAGAATCACAACGAAACAGAGAGAACATACAAACTTCCACCAGGACATACCGACACTGTGAATCTACTGCTGCCACAGCTAAGCCTTTGTGGCTGTGAGAAGGAATTTGTTTTCTGTGGTTAAGTTTGGAGAGGAAAGGCGGACAGGGAGCCACAACGGATCATAAACTATAAATCTGATTTCAAGTGGCATTGGTAAGTAAGTGGTTTTGCAGCATGACATTAACACCTTTTCATGGCTCAGGATCCAAATGTGTTACTTTCTGTCTTTAACCCCATAGTTAAATAAACACACAAGTTATACGCATATGAAATGGAAATTATCACTTAGTTAAAACTGATAATGTCCTAAATCAGCCTAAACCAGTACTCCACACATTTAGCATTGCACTCCTATAACATTGTCGTACTCAAAATGGACAGTTTCGGTTCAAAGTGGATACAGCACAAGCAGAGACATTGTCCTTTTTATTCCACACAATCTTTTTCCTTGTCAAAACCTGTCGCCTGCATTACCCACAATACAGCTCGGGCTGCTAGCCTCATGCGGTGACCGGGTCTAGTTTATTATAGTAAACCAGACCTATACATAGTAAACTAGACTAAACACAATGTGTACATTGTGTTGAGAAATGTCCTGCTTGCCATGTTGTAAGTAGTTTATGATTACGCTGACGCTTCTGGATGATGAATTATTTACTCAAGAGCCCCCCGAATCATATTGCTGCAACAGACTTGCCAAAGTATTTAAAGACACCCAAGCTTCTTAACTGAAGTTAGACCAAAACGAAATGTCTCTGCTGCCTGAGACAGCTAATCGTCATTGGACAGTGGATAAGTGATAAAACAGTCATGCCAGCCAAGAGGAGATAAGTGCCATCCAGAAACTGCACAAACTCCATAAGTTCAGACATATACTTAACAGGGTCAGCTACCTGTTGTATTATCATAGTTTTATTGTAGTGCAACCACTAAATAACAACTTGAACCAGACATCAGCTGGTTCTGAGGACAGAGGCTTCAATGAGACATTCAGAAAATCTGACAGTTGTGAGTGCCAATGCAATCAGATACAGTGTGGCAGGACAGGTGGTTACAAGAACATAGTGGAAATATGCAACCGGTCACCTTCTGTCTCCACATGTTTACCTAACACTGGTCTGTCCTCCAGCAGTAATGAGATCGGAGGAGGTTAAGGGGTACACTGCTGTCCGGCAGAAACCTCTGTCCACTTCACGGGGGAAAGTCACAGAACATAGCTGAGCTACAAAACATGATGCAGATTCACTCTCCTGGGAACATGTCAGTAAATATAAATAAACATTGAAGTCAACAGGAGACAGAAATGAGCTTTCAGGTCCTCACTTCCCACAACCCTATGAAGACATCGGTAAGACAGGAATAACATTTTTTAAGCAGGGAGATCTATCCTTTGAAGTAGGTACAACTGCAAAATAATATTCAAGACTAGCAAAGGTGGAGTTCAAGCAGATAGCCCATCGAGCAGGCAGGAGAAACTAATTGTTACTCAAAACAGTCCTTGAGGACATCCACTAAGCTTTTTGTGTTTTTCCATGCTTTCTGTTTGTTTAGCCAACACGTCATCTTCATTGCCTTGCTAGTGCATACTATCAATGGTTTGTTTGTGTTAAGCATTATCATTTGTTACAGATTTGTTATGTTTTCTGATTATACCACTCTGACAAGTCTTGTTTAAAGTTTTCTTGAGTTTTCTTGAGTTTTCTTGGTATATTAGCGTCCCTTGCTCTCACTTACACTTGCCACGCTTTCCCAGGAGTCAAAGGAGGTGGCATCTGAAAAGTTACAAATTGTAAAGACTAAACTAATTTTCTTTAATGCCTTTGTTGCTTGTTATGTGATCCCCCTGTGGATCTAGTTGTGCCATTTTCTAGTATTCTGTCGTTTAATAGGCTATTTAGTTTAGGCTGAAGATTAACTGGCGAAGTCACATGGAACTCACATTTCAAAGAAAGTTCCCCCATCTTGCACCTTCAACAAGAAGCTGGCATTGGTGCTCACTCTGCATTGGAGGATTTTAACAGCCCACTACCACTCCGCCCTCAATGTGGCGGACACTCCGCATGAACGCGCAAACGGAGTGAAATTAGGTAGGGAGGGGGAGCAGCAAGCAGTTTCAGAAAGGCCCCTTCTGTGTGTATTCACTTGCTGACATCATCACTGATGTCATGTGTTAAACCATGACGGCAGGGATTGTCTTTGGTTGAATATGTTATGTGATTTGAATTTTTTTTTATTGAATGTTTGTGTTTTTCTTACAAAATGGCAAGCCATTGCTTAAAGTCTTGTTTGCGCTGCAGACACCCCTGAGAAATATGGTTCTGCCTAAACTGATTATGCAGCAGATTGGGGGGCCTATTTAAGGCTAGAGGGTTTTTTTGTTAGTCATGGGGAATGATGTCCATGTTTCCCTGTGTGAGTTGAGGCTGAAGACCACTGTTCCCTACATGCTTTCATGATTAGGCAGGTTTCTTAAATGTATGTCCTATCATAGATCCCCAAATACTAAAAAAGAATATATGAAAAACAAACCTGGCTAATTCTTTGTTTTCTGAAATGAATGTGAAACTAACTATAAAAAAACCCTCAAGCATGCTTGTCTGATCCAGAAACTAATGATATAACCCCATCATGTGCTTGTTCTAAATTGGGCATGAGTGGACAGTTTATTACAGAAAGTTGTAGAACAAGTAAACAGTACTTTTGTGAGACTGGGCTGGCATGAGAAGAGAGAACATTGCTGTTTGTGCAGCATATCACAGAGAAAGAAAGAAATTAGCTAAATAAACTCACATTTATGAAATAGCCTGGATTAAGGTAATTATTTCCAAATTAACCAAATCAGAGAAATACAATTCATTACAAAATGCAGACTGAGTAATAAGTGGTAAGCCAAATCAAAAATGTATACACAGCTATAAATATTATTTAAAAAGGTTTGTTATTTTATTTTCTGATATTGAAAAGTGTGATTCTTTCAAATGACATGTGTTAATAGATGTTTAAATAATATTACAGCAGCCTTGACAAATGCACGACGCTGTAAATGCTATATGATTCCAATAAAGCTCAGTTGAATTGTACAGAAATTAAGAGAGGGGGAGGGAGGGAGACAGAGGGTGCTGGGGAAAGAGAGAGAAGGGAGGAGAGGGGAGAAAACGAGACGAGAGAGAGAGGCGAGGAGACAGAAGGGCGGGAGACAGAAAGGATAAGAGGAGGAAGCGAGAAAAGACGGAATTGGAGATTAAGACAGCCGTTTTTCCTAATAAGCCCGTTGCACTGAAGCGCATCTATCTGCAGAGTCAGTCCAAGAAAAAAAGGCAGCCGGGTCACTTTCCGTGCGCGTCTAACGCACCATATCTCCAAGAAGCACTGGTGGAGACATGCTTCAAGAGGCAAAAACCCCTGTTTGATTTGGATTAGTCTGCCCGTGAAGTCGGCTGGAAATGAACTCTGAAGGTGCATGTCGGTCTCAGAGCATTCATGACGAGAGTCGGCGCTTCTCTTTCTTCCCCATCCACATGAGAAGTTTAACCGGAGCTGGCTGAAGGGAAGGCTATCCGTGTTTCCGATTGGCTGTTTAATCTTTGTGGCTTCAACAACAGGACGACTGTTAACACAGGACACTGAGGTAAGTGGTGCGTTTTTACCCTACCGAACATCCTGATACTCTTTGCTGCTTTAGGGTGTCAAATGAGTGTCTGTCTTTTCTAATGAAAAATTTGTGTGTTGTGTGTGTCTGCAGTATTTTGTCGTCACAATCTGACCTTATCGCACATCAGTTTATTCCAGTGGTAAGATATTCAAATGCCACTTGTTGCACATCTGTGTTTTCCTACTAAATACCTGATTAAAAGCCAATCATTTAT